ATGAGCTAGAAGTGGAGAGACCAAGGTTTTTATCTATGCATAATACTGAGGTAAAAATCTTTCTAACCAGAGCCAGCAGACAGGTACACGCAAATGAAGACAGAGAAAACCAAACCAAGGAAAGTAATTCACTGTTGAGACGTACATAATCACATGAAAAAGAACACAAAAGAGACATAGTTGTATGTGCAGAGCCCAGAGGAAGGCAGTCCTCTGTACCATTTGCTCAGCCCAGGTGTCGGCTACAAGTGGCTGCTGCCCTGTTACAGGATGAGAATGTTTTGTAACCAGAACATAGGGATGGATCTTGCAGACAAAGCAGTCTTTATTTAAAAGCTTTCTGCAACACATCTTTGTCACTGTATCATGAAAAAAAATTGAAGGAAATTAAGCTGTAAGGTGTCCTGACATAAAAACAATGACAGTGCTTGCCTGAAAACAGATGGTATTTGTAGATAAATAAGAGAGACATTATTCTTGATTAGCAAACACAAAGTTCCTCCATAAGAAATACAGTATAAACTATACAGTAGTAGGAGAAATAATGAATTAAAAGTAGTGTTTTAAACAAAACTGGAAGTAACATGTACCTGAATATCTCTTCAAATGAAATACAAAATTAGTGTTCACTTTTTCCTAAATATATGTGGTAAGGCTCTAAAGAAGATGCATTGTATTTATATTATGTGAAAACAAGAGGAAAAGGTCTTTATTTTCCTTCTGTGGCAACCATAAAGCCCCAAAACCCTAAGAATTTTATACATATTTGATGAGTTCACTGTGGCACTTACAATTAAAAATTATATTAGAGTATCTGAACTTGTCACACATGGGCTTGAAAAAGCTTCTAAATAGTAATAATTAAGCCAATGTTAAGTTTCTGCTTTTTTAAAAATCAAGTTAATTATGAGTTAATTATAAGTTTCTAAGGTATGGCTACATGTAGCATAGCAATGCACAGTATAATATATATATATAAAGTGAGAAACATGCCCATGCATTATAAATAAGCACATCAATAAGGAAAAAATGCAACACAATAATCAGACAAAAATGGTTGTATCACCAACCATAAATTTTCAGAGAAAGTGAGTACTTGTAGAGATTCAGTAAGAAAAAAGAGTAGTTGTACATGGTGGAAGAAAGGGAGTTTGATTATCTCTGACATATTTTTGACTTTATTAACTGTATCATTATTCTTCTAAACAACCTCACCCAGAAGTAGCAGGCATTTGAACCACTGAATCCTCTGCTCTCTGTTCAAGTCTAGTCTATAAATCCAGTTATAGAAATTAACTAAGTCAAGACAAGTTATGAAATAGCAATCTTAAGAAGGAAGTGTTTGCCTAGCATACTATCTTTTCTCTGCTACATCTCTGATGAAATAATATATTACTACTTCTTATAAACACTGTTTCTTTCACTTCTATACTGATATAATGTGCTGGGATTCAGAAAATAAAAGTTATTAATGCTTATTTTGCCAAAACTTACAATAAATATAAAGTAGTCTGTATTTTCAAAAAGACAGAAACATTTACTGTTTTGACAAGTATTAATAAAATGTATTCAGTTTCATCCTCAGCTAAAAATTAATCCCTTCAATTTAAAAATGACATAAATTTGGTTCTTGGTTAATCTGAAGAAAGAGAAGACACTCTTAGAAGACTATTCAAAGAGATAATCAAGCCAAAAATGTTTGCAAGGAGAAAATTAACATATAAGAAGGATTAGTTGTATCTAGTAGAATAAAAAGATGTACATAGAAATTATATCAAAAATACAGTAAAAAATCTGAAGTCTGAGGAACATAGCTATCAATAAATGAGATGAGTATAACAAAGTGAAATGAGATTTGCCCAGCTCTTACTACAAACAGCTCACTTAAACAATACTGTCATTGTGAATAAACATTTAGTATCCATCTTAGGGAAGAAAAAAAAACAATAACCAAACAAAAAATATAAACATGAACCTCCCCCTCCAAGTCTCTTCATTCCCCACAAACACTAAAAAAAGCTTCAGCAAAACACATCAACCTGAAGTCTTTTTCAGAGAATATCTGAATGACTATTTATGACTCACCAGATGAGCTAGAATTCAAGAGCCAAAACTCAGGTAGTTTTAGGATTAAGAACCTATTAGAATCCAGACTGAGTATACCAATGCTTATTAAGAATTAGTAATTCCACTCTATCCACCCACTGCACATATGCAGTACCCACTGCACACTTACACTTCTGGGCATTCTGTGATTTGACCCTGCCATTAAAATTTACTGTTCAGGGTGGGGTTGGGGAAAGAAAGAAGTATTTTAGAAATAGAAATGAGAAGAAACTTTTGGTAGATACTGTGTTAACAAAAACTCTCCACAGTAATTTCACCAGTGATGCACAATTATTTAAATTCTTTTTAAAGAACTGCACATTCTTTTATGGGGAAGTTTCACAAAGAACAGCAAGCATCCTGCTCTTCAGAATTGTTTTTGAGAAAAGATAGAATGAAATGTTTTGGAACATACATTAGGAAAAGCTTGTAATGCCAAAGATGTCAAATGGTCAAAACTTTCTCCTCCAGTGGCTCCTGAAGTAAATAATAAAATAGGATTTGACAACAAAATCAAGGTCAATGTATGAGTCACACTGTAGCTGATTACATATATAAACTGCATATAATTTCATCAAAATTTTTTCTGACATGGTTATTTTTAAACTATTATAACAACTACAGTCTGAGTAACTGGGATAAAAAAAAGCATGATTGCACATCTAAGAAACAGAAATACCCTTACTTTAAAACTGAAATAGTAACATGAATCAGAGAATGTTACAAATATTCAGATAAATTTTGAAAAATAAAATTCTAGAACATTCTAAATATATGGAAGGGGAATTACAGATACAACACAGAAAGAAAATGTTTCCTTACAACATCTCGCTTGGCTTCTGGGGCTTGTGTACATTCGATCAGCACCTCTTGGACTGTGCCTACTCTCCCACAGTTACGATTCCACTTTCTGTGAAGTCCCTTCAAGACTGTATAAGAATCAATTGCTAAAGTCCTCTGCAGACATTTAAAACCCCTATAAGCTCAGCATGAAGAGTTATAAGGAAAGAAAGATGCTGGAGCACAGATTTCCAAAAGACCTCAGAAATGTTTGATTGCAATAGGTAACTGCCCCTTCTTTGAAAGATTCTCAATAACTTGTACAGAAAATTTCAAATCTGTAGGAAAGATGATTTTAACAAACAAAGGGAATTACACTGTTATTCTGCTGAGATGATACCTGACTTGTATCACAAACAAGTTGGCAAACATATCAAAGACACATGTAAATACTGTACTAACTAGAAAATCCCAGGGCTGTTTAGGCTGCCTTTACTCTGAGGTAACTTCAAAATGTTTTCCAATAGAGTGGTTTGGTCTGAAGCAGCAGCTGTTCTGAAATTGAAGTTGTGGTACAGCCCCACTCAAGGGGGAACTGTGTTACTTTGCAGAGCAATCTCAGCGTGTATGGACCAGTTTCCTTTTAGAAGGAAGCAACCAGGGAGCTCCCCGGAGGTATGGCACCAAACACCCTAACCCATCACATCCTGATTATGGTCAGAATGGATGACTAAGCTTTTATGTCTGTTCTGACACAAAAATAGACTGCATTGAGCAGGAACTGGACTGGAAGTGTTCCAGAGGTGCCTTTTAGTGAGTTGTTTTATGGTTCTACAGAAAGCACCAAGACTGCACAAAGTGTCACTACAAGCACTATGGCACTAACTGATTTGACCTGCTTCTGTTGTTTCACATTATTTTCTAATGTAAACATGGATTTCCATGTCCAAAAATTCTTACTTACCAGGTCCACATTCTAATTTAATAAAACACAAATTACCCTGGGTACTAAGGAATTTTTGGGTGGCAGTATAGATCCCTCTGTAGGTTTCCTCTTGCAAGGATGGATAAACCTGTGCAATGCTTCTTGTTGTCACAGCCAGACTGCTGCTGACCTCAGGTCAGCTTGGGTAGCTGCACATCACACTGATAAATGCAGTTATTATGCAGCCTGCATTATACGTGATGAGGAACTAGAAAATCATAATGACATGTACAACCTGAAAAAAACCCCACTGTCAATCATTAAATGGTGAAAATTAGCTTTAAGCTTGATATTATCATCCTCTCACAGTGGTTAATGATAGCCATTATAAACTAGAATTAATTCCAATTTATCTGCATATTCATTAGGAGCTTAGTATACAACCTCTCATCTTTAGCTATGCAATGGTTTTAAAATACACTCAGTGCTGTCATCATGATTCTACTGCCTCAGTATGAAGATGTACTTCTGATTTTGTCCTTCTCAAAATTGATTAAAAAAAAGAGAAAATAGAAAAAGCAGAAAGAAAATTGAGGTTATTCAAAAGACTAGGATACAAAAAGGCAAACTGAGATATGCGCAAATATAAAAAACCCACTTACAACAAAATGGGTCTCAACTTCCCTAGAATCATAATGAAATCAAAAGGTTTTTATGTTTGGCATCTAAATATTTCCACTTCAATTTATTCTCTAAGAAAATTATATTTATAAGAGGCTTTCTCTTTCTACCCATTCAACATAAATTATTTGTCAACCTTTGTTTAGATTCAGTTAACATCGTTAAGAAGCAGAACTCACACTAATTAGCAGCTTTTTAAAGCTTGTTCAGTAAAAATGTAATTAAAAAAGAAAAAAGAGACTTCCACAATGGTGTCCCACTTATTTGTTGAAGTGTGAGTGAGGAAGTAGGTACTGCAGGATTTATCTGAGGAATAGTGAGAGATGGAGTCTTTACAATCAATCAGAATTTGAAAGTAAGATAACAAAACTCCCTTGGAAGTTCTATTCAGTTAGTCACTTAGTTCTACAGCTCATGGAATAATTTCTTTACTCAGTTCTTCACTGCTGCAACAGAAATTAATATTTACATCTTAATTGGCATAAAAATTCCAGACAGTGAATCCTACCACATCTGCTCCATGTCTTCTTTCCAACAGCAGTCGGAAGACATTAGCTGTAATCTTGTTATCTTGAACACCTTGTCCAAGGCCACGGTTGTCATCCTGCATGAGCCGACGATCCATGATCACTTCCAGCTGACCTGAAAGAGCAACCTAAGATTATACTAGTGTCAAGAATAGGTAAGAGTTCTAGTAAACATAAATAACCTGACCTAAAATTTAACTTATTTAAAAAAAAAACATAATATTTCTCTTGATTTTGGAAGAGTTAGGGCTGATCAATGGTGTCAGGACTGATTATAAAAACAGCTAATACCAGTGGACTGTGGCTGTTTATAACCTTCAAAAAAAATTGTCACAAGCCTTTCTGCAGAATGTCCAGCAATTTTTACTTTCAGAGTTTATATAAAAGTTCAATATGAAAAATTATTACTATTAACTACTATTTGCAACAAGGATTCTTAGCAATCAATCAACCAAGAAAAGAATCACTCCCAAGCAGGAGAGACCTTCTGTAGAGGAATTACCTTCACCTTGTACTCTGTTCTTCTGCTTCACAATTGAAGCCAGGGGGGAAAAAAAGGTATCAAAAGGAGTACAAAAACACTCACAATCACTTCTTGAATGGAAAACTTCACTTGTGGAAATAGGAAAGAACTTTTCACTGGATAAGCACCGAGCATGAAATTCTGAGTTTTTACTGAACTGCAGCACAGCCACTCAAAATAGCTCTTTAAGCATAATGTTAAATTATATATAACCTGGACAATGAAGTTCATGTTTTTTTCAAGAGTCTTATCTCCAGAAGGAAACTAGATTGGGGTATGTAATTAAGGCTGTTATGTTTTTTGCACACTCAATCTTCAAACAAGTGTACATGTTTCCTAAGTAAAACTGAAGACTGAAGTGTTTGTATCCTGAACAAGAAATTCACAATTTAAGCTTCTAGGAAAGGTAGTGCTTACTAAGACAGTCTTTTTTTATAGTTCAGTGTTCTACAAACACCCAATTTTCTCAAATACTTATTCCTCCCTTCCCTTGAGTACAGATTTTGTTTAACCAGGACAGAAGTTGGCTGACAATGGTAAGAAAAAACCTTCTATTTTGATCTAAGATACTGTTCATGTAACTTTATGCCTTTAGACACACTTATGTCTCACACACAGGCACATAGCTACCGAGGTTAGCTTGCCTAAACTGTAAGATTTTTGAATTTTCTTCCATGATCCCTTTGAGCTAACTTCAGAAAAAATGTAACGAAGCATATGATACTCAACAACCACTGAACCTCCAGCTTATTTTTTTTCTGTTTTGAAAAAGCCAACATGCTTTTCAGGGCAAAGTAGCCAATTTAGTAATTTAATGAAATATTGCTTAATGATAAAAAATCAGATTAATTCATTCTCCTTTTTTTCCTAGTGGGCACAGAGTAAATCTTTGACATGGGTGAATCTTAAATAACATAATACAGTTTGTCAAAGAGTGAAAGAGTCAAGAAATCAATGTCATGTCACATACAGGACACATCTGTTGCTCTTTTATTTAACTGGAGTAGGTGAAAAGTCTAGAATGTCCTGTGACAGATTTGAAACAAGTGCTCACAGAAGGTCAGTTTCTCCCTCATGCTTAAATGCTGGGAGCCTACCCGTTCTGAGGAGGCTGCAATCTGATTTTAAGAGTTGTCCCATGGGACACCTGATAAAACCCCACAGCCCTGGGTCTGCTCTCAGCTCTGGGCTCTCTGGGCTTTGCTCAGGCTCCCAAGACTCTGCCCCATTGCTCCCAGAGGGGGAATAAATGGATTCCCCTGCTAAACAACAGAGATGTTGTGGCCTCCCTGTAGCTACGTGCTGCTACAAACTGCAAAATGTTGAACAGTGCTAGCCTTAAATTCCCCAATGTGATGGCAGAGAGTGGGAGTGTCTGTGGATTTAGATGGCGCATTATCTTGTGATGCAGAGACTAAGAATGTTAAAGACAAATACAGAAACTATTATCAGGTAACGGAGCCTCTGCAGACTAATTTAGTCTCCAATACCCATTTAATGAGTGCTTAACAACATCAGTGGTGTCAGAGCCATTCACAGGATCAGACCAATAGAAGTTGGGTTTCCTGCAAGGGGAGGCATTTAAAATGTGGTTTGAGTCTTGTATCTGCTAGGCTTGGAACAAAAGGCTGGTATTTTCCACTGTGGTTTTATTAAAGCATCACTGTAGAGGTCAGTGTTAATTCCTTACACTAAAGTGAATTAGGTTTGCTAATACTGCCACCAATCCAGCACGGTATTCACCTTTTGTAAGAACAGAGTATTTATGACATTCTTCTTAAACGATGAAGTAGATTTTGGTACAGTTTCTGATGAACTCTTTCTCTTCTGAATATTCATTCCATTATCATCCAAAACCATATAAATTTAAAATAACAACATATATAATAGCAAGAAATTATACATCTTAAGTTATAAATTATATAATTTATTTTGCCCACTACCTCTAGCTTTATTTGAATACCTTCCCCATTCTGATAGAATGAATAACTGCTCTCTGTTTCCAGTCCTTCAGGCCATTCATCACACCCTTTTCTGCTCCAAGGAGCAAGACTGTGTCTCTCTTGGAATTCTTAATATGAATTGATTTTTCTTGTCAACATATTCATCAGCTCTGTCAAAGTAGTCCATTAAATTTGTGAGGTATAATTTTGCCTCAGAAGTATATCCACTCTTACCCAGGGTCATATTTATCCTTCATTTCACTAACAGTAATCTTCAAAAAAGCTGCTGTTGTTTTTCCTTGACAGAGAAGTTAGGCTATGCTGTATATACCTTAAGACTAATGCTGTCTATACTAAAGCAAACAAACAGAACAAAAAACATGATCGCATCCTTCTTAAGACCTCTCCTACTAGGGCTGTATGTTCTGCTATTTCATTGCTGAGTTCCACCAGAGTTCTTGGGTGAAACTTTATTGGTTCTGAAAATTTATTGCTGCTTCTGCCTTTTTTGCAATCTTTTTCCTCTGCTTCTAGTTTGAGAGAGATCTGTCATTGAAGATAACAGGATCTCATTTGGGACCAACCTCTTCTTCCTCTGTTATAGACATACTCGAAAAGTTGTCAGAGTGGGAGAAACTTATTTCCTCTCTTCAAATGTTCGTAGGTAAGTACAGTAATCTCTGAATGAACTATTTCAGAATACCATGAAGGAGAGACCTTTGTCATATCTTTCATCTTATATTTACCATTTTTCAAGCTAGCAACACCTAAAGACTGAGCTGAATGAAGTGTCAAACGAACACCAACATCTTGGATATAAGCCATGGTAGTCATAGGATAGATATTTGCTTGAAGAGGCAACTTGCTCATCGTCAGTCTAGGCTGGATCTACAATATGAACACAAAATTAAAAAACATACATTTTTTTAAGCAATTAAATTTCAAAGACATTTTCAGACATTTATCCCATGTGCTTTGGAAGAACAATCATCACAAATGTATTCACTCAACTGTATATTATTATTTAGCTTTTTTGAGATTTGTGGCTAAAATTACCACTTTGGAAACTGTAGCTTCAGTGTACTTTTAGATCAAAGAATATTAAAAAAATGTGAAAGATTCATCAAGGGAATCTACAAAAAGGGAGACTATAAAAAGGAATAATCACAGTTATAAAATGAGAGAAAAAAAATTCTCCTCTAGAGAGCAAGCAGTGAATAGATTTAAGGTAGCAGAAAAGGAATTGTTGTTTTATAATGGGAACTTATTGAAGCACTGTTGAAGTTCTTGAATGGTACATGACAAAGGAGTAGTAGTATTAAATTATTTCCATATTTAAATATTCATTGTCTCCAGCAAAATGCAGTGGTACCAGTAACTGGAAAACCAGTAGTCTTTTACTCAGGGAGTCATGGACACTGTATTTGCAAAACTATTTTTAGCAAGAAAGGAAGGTCAGGAAAAACAATTTTTCTCTCTTTTGTGTGTGCTGCACAGTTCAAGTTACGGCATAGGCCCTTTCCTCAGAATTATTACCAATAGAAAAAGTATAATATATCCAAAAATACACCATTTATTTCCAACACAGCAGTAAGCAGCTGTTCACTAGGTGTGTCCTTATACACTGTGTTATCCAATGGGTTTTAACTAAACAAACAAAACAGAGGAAAAGAAGTCATGCATATATACAAGCAACTAACTACATAACTTGTTGTATTTATAATTCTTTTCTTAAAAAGAATTTAAAGGAATACTCAATAAATTCCTTAAAAGCACACAGTTACTTCTCAGTCTAGTCTATGTCAAATTTTATAATAGGTACATTTTTAAAAAGTATTTCTCCTTTTAAATGATTAGTGCAGTTTAACATGAGAGTTTGTTTAATATAAGCTCTTTACATTTAGACAGTCAAAACCTGACACCCTAAGCTTTTACAAATAAAAGATGGTAATTACCTGATATCCATTAAGATCAGTATAGAATCTATTTTGACTGTTTATGTCAGATGAAATTCTCATTGCAAGTTCACGATTATATTCTCCTCTTATGTCCACAATATTGGAAACTTCAAGAGACTGACCTTCCAAACCTACATGAAAAAGATGCATTTAAAATCTCTAAAAGAGACTGCCACATGTGTAAGAGTGACTGTGCTCCCAGGACACAGTGATCTAGATTTTATTTTCTCTTATACCTAAGCAGATATTGGAAGACAGATCAGTTATGCAACAGATGATAGAGCAATATTTCTAATTTGGTATCAATTGAACAGACAGTCTGAAAGAGAGCAACATGTGGTAAGAACCACTGTGGGTTCTAGTAAACCAGTAGGGAACAGCACACAACTGTTAAGTGCAGTCTTTAAATAAATATGCTAGAGCAAGACCTGGACAGTCACTTCTCCTCTTCACTCTTAAGCAGCTGTCCCTATTCCCAGATGAGAATGAAGTTATTGTATTCTTGATAAAACTGTTCAACTGAGCAGGAAACTTTGAGCAGCTCCTTTAATGAAATTAGTGACAGTCTTCCTTAAAGACAGTGAATTAAGAAGTTTTAACTGATACAACCACACGCAGGGCACAAAACATTGTTGACAGGAAAAAAGTTCATATTTATTAAGGGATGGATTAGGTGTCTGAAAATTCAGACAAGCTGTACAGTGAGGTTTGTTTTTTGTTTTTTTTTTTCCCCTACAGTGCCTTGTACTGAAAATTAAATACCTTTAATAATAACCTGACCTTTTCAAACAGTTCAAGTCACAGTCTGGAGTGGAATCATACCATCATTCAGCATCACCATTTCTACCCTTTCTGCAGTCTAATGGGACTAATGATTGCAAAAAGAATTGCACCAAGCAGAACACAGATATGTATTTGTTCCCCCATCTATTTTAGAATCTAAATGCCACCTGCAGAAGTATAGCAACTGTTAAAATGTTAACATTTACCAATGGCTATTAAACTTCAGCGCTAAGTGAAAAACACTTGATTCAGCTAATTACTTCTATTTTTCCCAAACTGAGTCTGGAAAATGTGGATTTCTATGCTCCACTTTTGATGCTCCCATTAATAGATTTTCCAAATAGTTCAAGTACTTTTTCCAAATATTTAAAAGCATGAGTACATTAAGGAAGTACATTAAGCATGAGTACATTAATACAGTAATTTAGTTTAGACTGTCATTATTTTTGTACTGCCTAATTTGAGATAATACAAAAATATAACTATGAAGAAAGTAAAGTATGACAAGCTTCTCATAAAAGGATTCACAGAATCATGCTAATATCAAAAACAGATGCCAACGGCAGCAGAAGTTAAAAATCACTCAGTGGTCAATTACTGAACAGAGTTGTCAACTCAGAGTATTAAACAGATTAAACAGAATTTTAAGCCAAAAGTGGCAAAAGCTATCTTCCCCAAAATTACTGAAAATGTAGGAGTTGGGAGTGCTATCCAATAGCTGGATTAGCCACACAATCAGTCTTGCTACCCCTTGGCAAGTAGGTAGGTTACAACAGGAGATGAGGTTCTGATTTGGAATCAAAATGCATTTATACACATAGTGATTTTTTTCCACATGCTTTGTTACTGTACATATCTACTAAGTCTTCAAAATATCTTATTTTAATTGAAGTAATGCTATATAAATACTTCCCCTTGCAAAGCCAAGGAAATAGACCTCAGCAAAAAAATGATGCAAAGCTATCAGATTTTAAACCTTGAAAAAGTTTACTTAAAGAAATTTAGATAAAAACACATAAAAGAGCAAAGAGACAATATATAAAATATATTTTGCATAATTTTTCCTTGTCAAAGCTGGAAGCATGGTATAGGATTTAACGATGTATACATTACATATGTAATGGTGTAAGTATTGAAACACAGTGATGAATTTAAAAATTGTCAGAAAAACCAAAGGAAAAAGGTACACTCACATGGAAAGATAAATTTGTTTGGAATTGGCAAGCAAGTGATTTTCACTAACAATTCACTTTCTGTGAACTGTGAACTGAAATAATTCCAGCAGGCATTTAGTAGCAAATTAAAGAAAAAGGAGTACTACAGAGCAATCTATTTTAAAATAACAACATCACCCCTACAAAGGGGAAAAAAAAAAAGGCTTTTCAGGCTTTTTCCCTTGCTGAGAGTTTTAGTTTACTAGAACTCACACAGGAATGTAACTTTATTTCCACATTCTTGGCAACCTGGTACCTCCTGACCTCAAAGTATCTTTTTTCATATAAGATGATTTTAACTATCTGTCACATAAAATAAAGAAACCATAGTTGTAGATATATGTTGTGTTTCCTTAGGTTCTTCAGCAATGAATGCAAACTCTTGGCTTCTGTTCCTAAGGAGTGTGAGTTTAAGTTTGATCCAGAATTACTATATAAGTTGGGAACTGAATTCTGATTAGCTTTTGGCGTATGTATAAACTCCAGCAGTGTCAAACCTCAGTGTACAAATGTCACAAAAATGAAGCATCTGAATCAATTTTAGTTCTAGATCGAAATACACTAGAACGAAAACAAAACAAAAAAACAAACAAAAAAAATCAGATGATGTCATTACTATTTTTGAAACCTAAAAGAAAGAAGGAGATGAGCAAGCAAGACTTTCAAAGTACTTATAACTTTTTTCTAGAAGTTGTTTAGGAAAAATAATTAAACATGATAAATAGGACTTTAAAAACATAAAGACAATTTTGATTCCTACAGTAAACTTGGTAATACAAAACACGTAAATTCCTTCAACTGGAAATATTAATCAATGCTCTTTTATCCCAGAATAATTCCACTAGATATAAATAATGAATAACTAAAAATGTATATTTCTCAATTACAGAAAGATACACAGGAAGCATGTTAACTCTGGTTTCTATATGAAAATAATTATATACAATCACACCATGACTTTCACCTTCTTTTACATTTTTCAAAGGCCAATTCCAATCAAGTTTGGAAGGGTAGAGAGTTTCCAAAATTACTGTTTACTTAGAATTTTCTTGGAAATCAATAGCTGAACAATATATATCTGAACTTAAAAAGAAAAGCAACTTAGGAAGAAAGCTGAAGGCAGCAAAGGAAAACTGGTATGATGTTATGTCCTAAGAGCCAAAAAATGACATTTGGTGCTGGTGCCTCTCAACAGACACAGATAATTCTGTCATGAGCTCACTCAAGAAGAAAAAGGACATACAAAGGGAGGTCATAAAATAACTAAAGCCTAAAGTTGTGAAGTAAACCAGACTTCTCTATTAAGGTCACTGATATATATTGTACTTCCATCAGTAAATGTGAAACTATGAAGGAAACTATATTCTTACATTCTCTCCAAGGTATTTCAAGTCTTTTTTCTGATTGTCAAAATATGTAGTTAGTTACAGCATTCAGATGAGTCAGTAAAGTCTGGAGGGGTATTTCCAACAAACCTATTGAGTTTACCACCTTAATGACTAGCATGATAGAGAAAAATCACAGTGCAAAGTGTAATGGGGTCAATACAACTTCAGTCTCATGAACTCTGCACTATTGCAGAGGTGCATTTAAACATTAAAAAGGCAGGTAAGATCCAAGATCATTGTGACATGAAATAGCTGCCAAGAGAGACAGAATTCCACAGCTCTTACCCTGGACTTTATATAGCCGTATGGTATGCGTCACGTGGTGAAAAAAACAAACAATTTCTGAGAAAATCACTCCATGAGCAACTCGTATGGTAGGTGGGTCTGTAAAAATATAAGGCTATAAAAAGAAAACAAAGTCAGAGTGGATATTTCAGAAGTTTTTCATAAATGTAGTGTCAATAAATTAAAGTATTTCATAAATATTAAAAGAGTGGGGTTTTTTTTAAACCACTCTAGATCTAAAACATTGGAGATTGAAATTTATTCCTAATCTGAATTCAGCAACTTCTCTTCAGAGTCTTATATTCTCTTTAGCTAAAATTAGGTTAAGTCTCATAACACATCTCACAAGTATTTTATGAGGATTAAAGGATACAAGGTCTACAGACAAGCACATGAAAGTATTGATATTGCATCTGGATTGAGATCTTTTGTTAGAAAAATTATAACTGCTAACCAGTAATTCAATAGTGCTCTTTCAAACTCTGGGGCAGGTGGTTTGACTCCCTGCATCAGTAGTGCACACTGCACAAGGAAAGCCTCTCCCTACTCTGCTGTGTAGATCAGTTTGCATATCCTTTGAAAACGGAAGAAAAAGCTTCTCCTTCATCAGAAGCAGACATAGCTGTCAGTGGAGCTCTCTGGAATGCAGGGTAGGGCTGGGAATCATTACGAAATGTCAATAAGGACAGTGGCTTACTACTCATGGCTCCCACAGATTAGGACAAACATTGCATAGTCACAATCAAACCAAGGAGAAGAAAATTATTTTTCCATGTAGTCACAGTATTTAGAGTTCTGGCTAGGCAAACAGTGACATTTAAAAAAAAAAACTGTTGATCCCACACTAAACTGTGTGCACCAGATGGAAATAAATGGATGGCTGCAAAGGTAAAAATTAAATGTTGAGTGTACAAGTCAAAAATGAAAATACAACACATGCAACTACCTCAAATAAAGACTTCACTTGCAAAAAACTCATCCCAAATGCATGAAAAACACATTATTCAGAGAGATCTAGGCAGAAAGCACTCAGAAGGTGGCTGTCTAACTTCTGTATATAGCACGGCCATAAGGACAGAGCGTGGTCTTTCTTGAAGCAATGACACCAAACATACATACATACAAAACACACTAGAGAAGGGCAAGTACAGGCAAATATCCAATATTCTTTGAGCATTTACCTTAATGTATAACAGGGAAGATTTCAAGAAGTATTGTATAAAAGAAAAAAGTGAAAGAGACTTTCAAGGGCAAAAAGCCACCTTTTCGATTCACATACTTATTCTTAGAGCTTCAGAATACTCTTTACTAAAAGCTTTGCCAGAACTACAAGAGGCAACTCTGCAGTTATCAACTACAGAAATATTCTGTACAGCAGTTTGGAAGAGAAATCGCAGGTACTTACACTTTGATAAGATTGTTTGGTTTAGGGTGAAAGGGCGTTTTCCTACAAAAAAATCTTATCCAGTTAATAAATAAAAAAACCCTCAAAATAGTGTTTTAGACTTCTTGATAGTCTACATGAAAAACTTATGGAACACTTCCACAGGATCCCATCTTGTCAATAAGACAGACAAATGTTATCTGTTATGCAAAATCCATTTACTAGGTGAGAAATACAGAAGGAATATGGTATTCAGGGGGCATATTAGATAGATGAGCTAATATGCTGTGATAAAAGAAGATCTGAAGACCAGATCTTAAGTTAAAACCTCTTATTTCCATGAAAAACTGACAATATCCATAACTGTAGACTGAATTCTCCCCTTCTGGCAGAAGAGACTTATTTGCTTTTCTATTACATATAGGCAGAGAAGACAAACTAATTTAATCAGTGACTACCTGACTTTTAGAAGTTAAAAATCCCACAAAGGAAGGACTGGATGACCAAACAAATGGTGGAGTAATCAAACCCTTCAAATTCCTCCCTGCAGGGCAGAGCAACATGAAGATACTCAAGCTAGAAAAAACAGACTGAAACAGCACCTAAAGGAACTCTCAGAAAAGGAACTGAAAAACTTGAGGTCATCAGGACAAGCCAGTGAGCTGTGGTCTAGAAGAATGTCACTTAGACAGCGGACTGCCAAATGTATTCTGTTATCACAGTAACACAGATCTTAAGGCATTGTGTAGTTTGTAAGAGTAGTTTTTGCTCCACTCTCACTGGAGGTAGCCAGCAAAATGGAGAGATGCTGGGTGAGTGGCAGGAATATAAAAGGTTGTGTACTTACTAGAAAAAAATTACCTGAAGTAATTTCAAAAATTAAAAAATATACTAAACCCAAACATTTGGAGGAACTCTTTTCCATTGAGTTTTTTAGTACAAAACATGAGTGTGATATTGACAACAGCTATCAAAATACATAGAAAGCTGAAATGAAATGGATATATCAGCTCTCAGATTATAGGATGTTGCCACAAATGTTAAGTTCACACACCTGAGCCTCCAGGCTGCACATGTAGCCAAATCAGCTCCTCTTCTGAAGATAAATGCAACTTATTTATTAAGTTATAGACTGTTCTGAACTAAACAAAAAGATGAGTTGATCCTTTTCCTGGAAAAGGAACTGTTATTTTGCAGATATTGCCTGAAACTAATCAATTTTTAAAAAATAGTAATTCATTTTGCTAGGACATGCATTGAGTTTGCAAGCCTCTAATTCAGTCACAGTGCTAGAAAAGGCACAAAAGAGGAAGGTGGCTTACAAAGGCAGATGCTACCAGGCAGTTTTGGGGATAAGACAAGTTCTTTCTGATAGAAAGAGTGGTGATATGATATACACTCAAGTTCTCACGGATGACTGATCTTCCCTGATTATTGGGCAAGCAGGGAAAATGAAGTCAAAATATGGCAGCGACAGAACAGGGGAGCCTTCAAATTCATGTTTAGTGCCTAGAAAAGCACTAATCTTAGAACTTGATTTGTTGATAGGTGCCAGGAGAAATACCAGTTCAGATCCTATGGAGATATAATTGCCCAGGTTTGCCTCACCAAAAACATTTCAATCAACCAAGCTTTCACTTTTAAACAGGAAAACATCTTTATGCATTGAATACGCAGTTATTCTAGAATCATTGTAAAGATCCTTGGTGAGATGCACAGGTCTATGAAAGGCTCCTGGTCCCGGATCTGAAATACAAATGTACTTTTGATGTGAAAGTCTAGGGCAATGTGGAAAGAACAAACAATGATAGACATTTGCAAAACGGATTTGACAAAGCCCTTATCTCAATTCAGTGTTAAGTCTGCTTTGCAAACAAGCATGGACTAAAGGACCTTCCAGCATGAAGTAATCTGTTATTACTCACACTTTAAATTGGAATAAAAACATGTTGCTTTCATACCCAATGGCTAGCCTGAAGACTTTACTTTCTAAAGAGTTAAAATAAATAGCTGCTGTAATATCTGTTCCCCTCAGCTCCAGTGGAATGAATTCCATTGTATAAGATGCAGCAGCCTAGTGAGGCAGCTTTTGTTGAGGCTGGAAATCAGAATTTTTCAGAAACAGGACAACAGTACTATGGGTCAAAGGGTTCAGAAATCATCTTTCTGTATTCCTATTTGAGAGAAATAAGACAATCTCTTTTTTGGAAAGATAGTGGGAAGGAGGCCTGGGGAGAAGCTAGCTAGGAATTATAAGGGAGACTACCTGGAACCTCATGGATCCCTATAGTATATTAAAATACTTAAAATCAAAACAGGTGCCAAAGGGTGGAAATAATTGGGTATACACCTTCACCAAAACATTTACTGGCTTGTATAGAAAATGCAGCCTGGAGGCATGAAGTATGGGCAATTAACTTTTTCCCCTTGTAGAAAACTAAAGCATTCCTAACCGTTTTAGTGTGGCCAGGAAACTTCTGATAGTGAAGCACACTGTTGGTCTGAGTGCCAATAAAACTATGCCCAGGGAAAGGTTTTCAACAATACATGAAATGTTCTGCATTGGTCTAAAATTAAAAAAAAAAAAAAAAAAAATCACAAGACAAAGCCTGCAGGAAAAGGTGTTTCTCAATAGCAGATTGATCCTTATTTGCCAGGTTTGAGGTTAGACTGAGCTAATATCCTGTATTTCGGCTCTAGCACTAGAGATCCTGCAAGGGAAAAAAAAAAATAATCTGTTTTCTTATATATTCTGTTGGTACATAAGTACCTATGGAAACTAGTACATACACAGAATCACAGAACCAGCTCCCTGAGGGAGAATCAAAACTTCCTAGTCTGGGTGTACCAAAAACCATCACTTGGATACTGAAAAACTTATCTGTAAAACAAAAAAATCAACTATTCACATTGATCCCACGAACATTTAGCATCTGATGCTTTGGAAAAAACTGCTTTGCTCTATTCCCTATTGATACCAATTAGGGCTAGTAAGAAGTCATCACATATTGACTTGTCTTGAATACACAAAAGAAAATACAGACATTTAACTGTTTCAAAGTTTATTGAATACCGTGAGTTTTTTCCCCACAGATCTACAAAAAAAAACCAACCAACCAAAAAAAAAAAAAAAAAAACCAAGTTAGATATTCTTCACAAAATCACAGGAGTTGAAAAACATGTTTTGTCTTTATGAACAGGACACTGCTTATACTTATTGTGAGGCCCAAGAAAATCCCTTCCTTTCAAACTTTGTTATCATTGTCAATCAGGTGCACTGCGCTGCCATTTAAAAAAATTAAGATGCTGCCTTTTTCCCTGGTGCCTTGCTTTCTCTTTTAATTTTGGAGGAAAAACAAAGGCATGGTAGGGGGACTGTCCTATCTCTCTAGACCTGCAGGACGGAGACCCCACTCTGTGCCACTCTTCTGGACTTTGCACGGTTCATATTGTTCATAATTATGGTTAGACAAATGATTAAACAAGATGAAGAAAAATAATTTCTGAGTATTGCAGAACTGAAAACAACGTAACCAAAAGATTTATCAGCCATAAAATTAATCAGTTAACAAAGGCAAAGAAAACATATAACCCTACTCATACTGGAGGAAAGCAGTCCAACATAAAAAGCAATTATTCTTTGCAAATTTTGCTGTAAAACATAGGGTAAAGGAGGTAACAAAAAAATCAAAATAACAACACCTAGCCAAAAATCAAGAAAATTACCTGCCATCTATCCTGCCAATTCACACAAGGACTTAGAAAGTTAGTCAATCCACATTACACTAAGAACCCTGAACAGATGGCATTTCTTTTAAGAAAGAAAGCATTAGCTCAAACTAGTTTAGAAATTACTATAGAATTACTCTGTTATTCCCATTGGGACAATTTAATTAGTGTTATTAAAATGCAAGCCAAATGAGCCTTATGGTGAAGCAAACTATTAATGAAGGAGAATTTTCAGAAGTATAAAAATTTCATTTTTATTGTATAAAATGTTCAGAAGTTGAACAGCACTCTTTTAATGTTAACTTAAAATGTAGTTTAATTTAATTTTTCTTTTCTAATTGTGCTTTCAGACATGTGACAGACATTTTCTGTTTAAACCATACAATTTTGCTATCCCAATTTGTCCAGACTTTTATAAAGCAAATTACTTAAATGTATAGTTAAAATTACGTAACTGCTAGATTTAGTGATTATTTTGAAAAGCAAAAGATGAAATAGAATATAACATGAAATTAGTTAAAGTATGGCCACGCAACTACTGAAAGGTAAAAATTAAAAAACCTAAGTGATATTATTCAACTATTCACAGATTAAAAAAAAAAAAAAAAAAAAAAAAAAAAAAAAAATAAAAAAAAAAAAAAAAAAAAAAAAAAAAAAAAAACCACAATAAAATGAAGGAATATGAAATGGCATTTTAAATTAATGATAAGGAAACACTGATGAACATTTCTGAAGTAAATTATGGGACTAAATACACTAAATAGTTCAAACCTGTCAAATCACAGACCTCAAAAGGTGTGCTTCTAGGAAAGACTGCTAAAAGAGAAGGAAACTGTCTTGTTTCCTTCTAGACTGATTTACACAGAGGAAGAAATAGGAAAAGAAAAAAAGAAAACAGAAAGAAAGAAAGCCAAACACCTTTCCCTCCAGCCAAAAAGTAGAATGATTACTCTTGCATATTTCCTAAAATGGTAAGCATAGAGCTCATCGTTTGCCTTATGTATGAAACTTGAGTTTTCAAAAGATAAACTCAGAAGAAATATGCTGCCAACTAGCTAGCTTCATAAATGTACATTATTTTATCTTTTGCCTTCTGAAATATTACCCTTCCAGTCCCAAAAGGGAAGCAGTAGACTCCATATGGTAATGAAGTCACTGTAAGAACACTGCCATCTCCCAGTTTCCAATTTGAAAACTACTAGGACTATGCTGTTGCTCTCCAATAATTACACAGCTAAAAATACAGATAACCCTAGAGAACTAAATCAGAACAGTTCCTTACTACTCTGTCTTTATATTCACCAATTGGGACTCAGTATCTTAATTACTATATTAAACTAAGTATGCTAATATCAACTTAAAAAGTAGCTCTGAACCAGAAGCAACACATTCAGAATTATAAAAAATAAAAATCAGAAAAGTGAAGATGTAGAAATTAATCAGTACACATTTTTATCATAGAAAGTAAAACTGAACTTATTTCATCAATAATGAATGGTGGCATCTCACTGAATTTCTGGCAAGGATTGCATTTTAATTTTTTGTGGGGGGGATTTTCACATTTTCAAATTTCTATTGTGTTGTTGCTCTGATGTAGGACTAGGAAGTATGAACTTCTGCCAACCATTTCAATAGCCCATGTCATTATGTCTAGCCATACACAGCTTTTATTTCAGTTTTGGGGATAACTAGCTTTTCCAATCTATACTTGCCAAACACTTTAAATTACTTCAAGATTAGAATTTCTTTGCAAACACAAAGTTTACCTTGGCATCTCCATCAGGTAAGAAGAGATAAGCTCCACTTTTATCTCGGTTACTGGTAGTTCCATACCAAGCAAACTCCATCTTCATTTGATGATTTTTACCATCTTCCTTGGTGTTTATTTTCTAAAAGGACAGAGATTCATGTTAGTTTTCCATAAATATTTCCATAAATATTTCCATAAATATTCCATGTTGTTTTCTTTAAATAAAAGGAGCAGGTTGTAGACACTCGAGTATCAAAAAATCTCTGAAATAGTAATTTACCTGAAATCGAATTATATTAGTAGGCAAGTCTTTCTTTTCTGAGTTGTAGTGCAGTATCTTTATTTATTTATTTTATTTCCATAAAGCAGCACAAAAAAGTAAAATATAGTGTTTTGAAATAAAATATAACATACCTCCAGTAATCCAGACATTCCAGAAAACCATAATTTCATGTATGTATTTTCTAAGATTATATTATCCACAGAATGCTGCATCTCTTTTATCTTGAAAATCTCATCTGGCATCTCCTCCCTGCTATTCCTTACATATATGTTATAGTCAGCTAAAACTGCTTCTGAACTCTCATCCTCCAGAAGCTGGTAAACTCCAATCCCAAGAGGTGGTAGATGTGCCACAAAAGACATCTGTTGGGAGCAAATAAGTAACCATTACTAAAAATAGCAAAAATATCAACTTTTTATACAGAATTTATTCCTTTTATTCAGAGTTATTCCTTTTGCTTGAATAATTTTAGGATGGCTGAGTTTTCCCATAGTCCATAAATAAATATGAAAAACTAACAAACAAAAATATCTACATGACTAATTTGCTTAACATCAAGATTACCATTATATTTATACAATAACAATTTTGAATCTTGTTAAGAATATTAATTGTGATATGCAGTTCTGAGTATATTTGCTTTTCATTGAAGATGCATGTGTACTGGATCAAGACTCACAGACTCACTTATCACAGACTCTACTTATCACTTGATTTTGAAATTTAAATTTAAAAACACATGAATTTAAATAACTAAGTATAAAGCAAGAGTCTCATTTTCAGTCTCTGGTTTTTTAGGAGCTATAATCTGCATAGAAGAGTAGTACACAAGGTACATCTCCAACACAATTTGTTTAGAATTTAAAGTCCAGAAAAGTAATTTCACTTCCTCTTCTTCATACAATAAAAATACTAATTTTTGTGCTGGTTTTGGCTGGGATTAACTTAAATGTCTTCATAATAGCATTTTTGGCACTTGGTTTCAGTATTAACCACTTTGATAACACTGTGATAAATATCTCAGCTCCAGCTAAGCAAGGCTTATGCAGTATCAGGGCCCTTTCTGCTGCTCCCCTGGGAGGAGACTGGGGATGCACAAGGAGTTGGGGGGACACAGCCAGGACAGCTGACCCCAGCTGACCAGAGGGATATTCTAGACAATGCGACATGATGCCAGCAACAAAAACTGCCAGAAGAAAAAGGATGGGGGGATGTTTGGAGTGATGGTGCTTGTTTTCCCAAGTCACTGCTCCACGTGATGAAGCCCTGCTCTGCTGGGGATGGCTGGGCACCTCCTCAGCCTTGGGACACAGTGAATGAATTCCTTGTTTTGCTTTGCTTGTGTGCACAGCTTCAGCTTTACTCACAATCTTTCTCACCAATGCCCATCCAATTTTTTCTTCCACCCTCACTGGGTCAGTGAGTGAGCAAGTGTGTGGGGTAGAGCTATTTAGCAAGGTTTACTCACAATAATTATCCCTTTGGAACACAACTCAGAGATAGTTATTGAATCAGCTTCACAGAATATTATCCTGAACCAAATTCCTACGTCAAACGGAATCAAAACATAAGACTGAAAGGGGTCTATTGCTATTACAGTCATACACTATTACTATTTCATTTAAAAATTTATTTCATTAAAACTTTTTTCATTAAAAATTTATTTAATTAAAAATTTAATGAAATAAATTTCTGATATGTCATGTGATCATTGAAGACAGTTTTCTATAATGATGTACAACCCAAATATTCTTAGAAGTTTTGCTTCAAATAAAAAACAGGAGATGGGCTTGAAGATATCTGTCCAGCTTGAGTATTTGGAAGGGAAGAGGACATCTAAATGTAAATGCTTGAGTCATTTCATGTGCAAGACCTTCCAGCTGGAGTGCTTGAGAACATACAGACATGTTTGACTGTGTGTACAGACTGGCACTTGAAGGAAGAAGCAGCTCAATTGAGAAAGCAAGGGGAAAAGACACACATCCAGTATTTTCCAGTCACGCAGCTGAAACTGATCCTTTAAATGTAGTAAATTATATCACAAAACTTTAACAGCAAACTTTAACAGCTTACCAGTTTAGAAGAGATTAATGCAAAACATGTGTATGTTGAGTTTTTAGGGGGTTCTTCGGTGAGGTTTCTTTGGTGTTTTTTCTTATAGTGACTGAATTAATAGTATTGTCTACGGAGAACAGAATGGCCAATATGCGCAGTACACTTTCCATTTTCTTCAACTATGAAGCTACAGTAGCTATCAAAAACATATTTTAATGCTTTTAATTTAAAGTAAGGTACCTGATAAGCTTCATGTGATACTGTAGTTGCTCCATCCCAAACAGCACTAATCTGGACAGTAACAGGTTTTCCCAAAGGAGACAATAATTTAACTCTGGGTGAATTCACATTGACTGAAACCACTGAAAATCGCTCTTGCTCCGTAGGATTATGTATCAAAAGGTATCTGAAAGAAACATATTTACTAAATTATCTTTTAGCAACCAAGCTTGCCTCCTTCAGGTTTAATGTTACTGCACATAAATTTTACATACAAAGAATTAAAACAACATTAGAACAACAGGTACATACCACAACAAATAAATATACAAAACATAACTAAGAAACAATGGATATTTAACATCAGATTATTATTATTATCATTATTATTCTTATTTGCAGATCTTTTCTTAATGCTATTACTTGTCCAAGAAATTTTGAAAATTCCTTACAAAAAATACGTCTATTTCCCATTAAAATTGCTAAAGATTTGCTATTAACAGTTGCAAGCAGAATCAAGACATTTAAGGGTATTTTAAATGTATTTTTTGGGCTGAACTATCAAATTCTCATCCACAGTTGCCTCTTTTTAACACAGCTTAGAAAAAAATGAGTGAAGAATACTGGCTCTACATATATATATTCAATAAAGGAACTAGTTTCTCTCTTCTATAAATGAAATACAAAATTATTTAAATTATGATTTAGCATCATTCATTATGGCAACTATTTGCATATCTTCTTAATAGGTACATATGGAATAACTATTTTTTTCCACAGTCTTCCATTTGAGCATAGATTATGCTATTAACCAAAAGAATCAGCCCTGAGCTGAAGACTGCCTTTATTAGCCTATATAATTTTTATTATTACAGATTCATGTATTGCAAGGTATAGAAAAACATTTGTAGTATAGAAGGTATAGAACATTTGTGGTTCATACATATGTAGGACTATCATTGTACTTCTTGCCTTTTCACTGACAGGCTCAAAGAATGGAGTGCTTACAGCTGTTCCCTGACGTTTCCCTCTGTTCATGTCATCCTTTAGAAGCCTTTAACAACAAAATCTGCTCTTGCCAAAACTTCTGGTGTTTTCTTAACTATATACAGAAGAACCAATACTCTATTTTCAATGTCCTTAACACTCTCCACTGTAAAGCAGTTTACTTCTTCATGGGATCTGATCTTACATCAGTTCCCATGAGATCAATTTCTTATGAAATCACTCCTTCCACATTTCTTCTGAGCAGATTCTCCTTCTTCTCTACTCTGTGTTTTCTATGCAGATTCTTCAGGGTTTTGTCCATGGTTCTGTTTCTTTTGCTTTCACATCTTAAACCAAATTCAGTTACCCCCTTCACAGAGTAAAACAATTCACCCAGAATTATCTCCACCCACCCAACCTACAAATCTTATTCAGAATCCTGACCAGGCCACCATTTCCCCCTTATCTTCTTACTGGCTTCCTTTGTTTGCCTGTATCAAACTTAGCTAGTAAATTTCCCAGCACTTCACTGCTACCCTATTATTTCACAATCAGTATAAAATGAAAGGTCAACTCCAGCTTCTCATTAGTTGAATAAACAAAATCAGAGGCCTTTTTATATCAAGAACTTTTGGACTACTTGCCATATATCAAATGAGCATAGCATAAAAAATATTTTCTTTTTAACTCCTTAAATTCCTGTGCTGAAGTATTGTTTAAATCATGATCTTAAGGTATACCAAGGATTTTCAATGTGCATTTGTGATCACAACCAAAAATGCTTTTGGATGCTTTCTTTTGGCCTGTTTAATGCTGAAGACTCCTAGGTTACTAGATAATGTAATAGTTAACCATATTCTGGGTTAGCTTTCAGAGTCATTAAGAACTTGGGCAAGATTTTCTGAGAACCTCCCCTAGACCTGGGTAGGGCAATTTGTACTTAATGTGGAGTTGTCTTTATTCAGAGAAAGATTTTAATTTAATGTGTTTTGGTTAATCTCAATAGGTGTTTTTTGTTGGTTTGTATTGGTGTTTTGTTTTTTTTTTTTAAGACATTCATGGAATGAAAAAACCTAGCTAAACCAACCCTGCTCTCAGTCTTAATCCATTACAAATTAGGAAGAGAAAAGAAATTATACCAAATTTTTTTAAGAGCTCCTCATGTACTGTGAAAAAAGTGTTAGGAACTCTGTCAGAAACAATACAGACTGAGAGATGATTGAACAACAAAGCTCAGAATAAATCCTCATTCTCATCCATCAACAGAACACCACATCTTTTTTTCTTTATTCTTCTTATACAATTGAATTTTTCAATTCTTATGCCTCCAAGTAAAAGGAGACCTTATCCATATAATAATTTTTCAGTAATGCTACACATCTTCATGAAATTTAAATTATCTGCCAAGCAAAGAACATATTAGTGCAATAAATAGTTCCAGAAACTTTGTTCACCTTCCCATAGGTACAAACATATTTCACAACTTTAATTAGTTGCATGACAATTTCACTTATAACAAAAGACCTTATGAACTGCAGCATTATTATTATTATTATATTTCATCAGACTATTTTTAAAAAATTGCATTGGATTAAACAAATCTATTGTATCAAAATAGATACATTTTTAAGTCCTTGAATCAATGTGTTTTAAGTTCATTGTGTGTGTGTTGACTAGTAAGATAGAGGAGGCTAGCAATGACAGGGTAGATTTTCAGCACTTAAAATGCAGAAGTTTTGACGAGGTGCTAATATTTTGTTCTGACATACAATTTTAGGAGGACTGCAGTAGTTACAGAAAGCAAGATAATTCTTGTGCATTTACAAAAGCATTTACTAATGTAATTAAATCACATTACTTCTGAAGTACCATTCAACTTCCACCCTTAAATAATATAGGATGTTAAAATTGTAGATTTTATTTAAAAAAAAAAAAAGGAGCTACACCTTACTTAAGCTGTATCATTGCAAAAACTGTCAGACAAAAAGCTGTGTAAAATTGCTTAATGCACTGTGGTTGCATTACAGAGAGAAGCAACCTCATAATATTTAAAGGTTTTCTACTCCTTATCTTAAGGCAAAAACATGAATATTACTGTCTTTCAAAAAAAGCAAGCAAATATTTTCTTTTCATTATTCAGTTAACTGGTCTTTAGCAACAACACCAATAAAACTATTAAAGTTTACCTCTTTCATTCAGTTAAAGAGTGAAGGGTTACTGGTAAAATTAATATGAAAAATTATATCTGATATATTTTACATTAGAGGCACCACAATGGCCAACAATTTAATGATTTATTTTATTTATTCAAGAAATCTAAGAATCCTAAAACTATGTTAAAATAAACTGCATTGAAATAAAAAACCATGACTAAACCACTCATATGGAGACCACATATTTCACCTCTGCACTGGCAGCAGGAGTTAACTGTTCCCAGTCCATTCAAAAAAGAGAAGTTATTGTAGATTTGAACTCTTAATCCTAAATTGGATGCATCACAAATACTTAAAATTTAAGAAAAGAAAATCCTGACACCTTTTCAGACACCTTTGGAAAGATACACCTTAAATTCTTTTACCCCATACTTTTTTGAGTCTCTGAGACTAAAAACAGGTCTTTTAGTCATATAAGCATGAGCACTTTCCCTAGATAATCTACTATTAATAACCGTAATAAACTCTATTAAATGTATACATACAAGAATATTTTGACCAGTCTTTCCTGTAGTAAGAGATTTAACTCGTTATGGAATATTTTCAGCAGGAGCTGGAATGCACACCACCCCTTCCACCTCCCCTCTTCTTACTTCAAATACTTTAATTCTTAAATTAAGAAAAATATGTAAAGTGCTGTAGCTTTATTTGCAGACAAAAATATGAATAAAGATGATTTATTTAGATCTCTAACAACTTTAATCTCTGCCTCCTAAAATAAGATTTTTCTTAGAAGAGCGTCAGAATTTCAAAATATCACTCTTTTCTGTTTCTCCAATGTGTATAAACATATAGGCATATATGTTGATACACACATTTACTGGTAACACCTGCAACACAATTACCATAATTACCACTTCCTATTGAAGTTCATTCATCCTTCCTTCTCAAGGGATGCATTCAACTAAGATGAGAAACCACAATTCACTATTAGTAAATGTCAGAGCATCATCTGTGATAAGGGCTTATTCAAAAAACACCTTTCAAGGCACTTGGGATTTACAGTTCAAGACAACAGTGTTCATTGTTCATCAGAGTAACTTTATTCAAATACATCTGGAGCACCAGTTCCTTGAGGACCTCTAGCTCAGATAGATGAATTTAACTGAAATTTCTACAGTAAACCTTCTGAGACAGACTGGAGCATTTTCCATTATAAATGGATTCAGAGTCAGTTCTTTGGACTCATAAGCATAATTTTAATGCAAAGTTACATGAACAAAACTTTCAAAGTGATTAGCTTCTTTCCATCTCCTCCTACAAAGGCCAAGGTAAAAACCATCTAAGTAGTGAAAAAAAAATGTAATAAGTACACCCAAAACTGAGATAAGATACAAGACATGAAGCTAAATATCAGTGGTCTTCCAGTGAAGAACAAAAGAGAACAGATGCAAGTGAGTTCTGAAAGAAACAAGAGAGGAATAATGAAAACAGATTTAAATGCTTTATACTATAGAGAAAAGGAATTTAAGTAACTACATATGTTAAAGGTCACCAGAGAGGCTGGTGGGTTAGAAACCACAATTCAGCTACAAATGCATCCTGGCTTCTTGACTCTTGATGCACTTTGATAGACTAGGACTTTAAAATTGTAAACAAAACTGAAATTCTCTAAAAAAAAAATCCTCTTACTGGTAATAGAACCAAGAACCAAAAATGTCTCACATCTTAAAATTACAAGAAAGAATTGCTTTGAAAGGTGAGGGAAGAGTCAGTAGGAAGTAATGTTTAATTACCAAACATTGATGTATATGAGGTAGAAACAAGCTAGGTCTTAATATTTAAACTGTATAAAGCACTGCTTGCCATGGAAGCTTCCAAAAATACCATTAAAAAATCAAAACTACAAGACTTCTGATGTATGGTGGAATTTCAACAAAACCCCCCCTAAAAATTCCAAGAGATTACAATCGTTAAGAAACTGTCATGAATTGCCATTACACAGATTCATGTCTTTGGGGATGGAGGTACATGGAAGGAAAAGAAT